TCCATTTGATGATCATATACGAAGACAAATACTTGAAAAACGTGGAATTAATTATGCATTAATGGAAAATTATTCAATTGAAAAAATGAATTTACCATCAATTTTAGCTAAAAATAAAATTGGTACTAAAATTGAAAAAGTTCAATTAGGTTTGTTGATTTTAGAAAGAAAAAAAAAACAATTCATATATTATTAAACATATTGAACTTTTATTTTAGGTGGAACAATGTATGAATTTGGAAAAAAATTAGGAGAAGGTGCTTATGGATATGTTATTACTGCTCGTTTAGAATCGAATCCAAAAGTGACATATGCTTGCAAGGTAATTTTAATAAATATAAAATATATTATAAGCTACTTTTATTATCAAAATATTATTGTAGTCATTTAATATACAGTAAAACGTTCCATAATGGACACTTTTCAAAAGTTTGAAGTGTTCCACTATTAAGAGATTATACTGTAATTGTAATTCTTGTGGTTTCAACAGTGAAATAAATCTATTGAAATTTGTTTTGTATGTGAACATTAAATATTTTTGTTGTTTAGATTCAACATCCACCAACTGTATGGGAATTTTATATACTTACAGAATTATCACGACGTACAATTCGTAAAGCTGGTCAATTTGATCTTGTATATGAGTTTTATTTTTATATATTATCTAATATAATATTTCATTGTTTTTTTTTCTTTCATTAAGAATCAACGTATTCCAACTGTATATCGTCTAATTGAATATAATGATTATAGTGTTATGTTTATGCAACGTGCTCCTCAAACTTTACTTGTATGTAATAAAAGTCTCAGAAAAAAAAGACATTGCAAGATAGAGATCTATGATATTTTTGAAATAGAAATCTCATTTTAACAAACAGGACTAAGATCAGACAATACATATGTCTATAAGTTAGTAAAAATACAACACAGCAATAAGAGTTCATCTACAAAAGATCCCTCGTTAAAAATCGTATTTTTCAACCACTAACTCTTCATATGGCAATGACTGTCACCCCTCCTCCGAATTGGATAGTCACTCCGAAGATACTTTTTTTTTCAGATTTTTGTATTCGGTGAATGACGCATCCTACATATTTATCGGATGACTAGAGCTCGTCGGATCCTAAATTTTCAGATCCAAACGCTACTGAACATTCAAAAGCATCTGAGTTCACTCCGATTTGTGCCAACTCCTTTTCTTGCATGTCCTTAATGTATGATCTCTAATCAGAATTTCGACAGCTTGAAAAATTTAAATACATCATATGATTATTTATCTAGATAAAAATTAATATTGTAAAATGAAATCTTATTTTCTTCATAGGATTTTGCCAATTATCATATTAGTCGTGATCGATATGTACCATTATGTTATCAACTTTATTATTCGATTGAAATGTTACGTATTTTTGATTATATGCATCGATTACGTATTATTCATTGTGATGTAAGTTTTTTTTTCCACATAATTTTTCTTTTATCTTGTTTTTTTTTTTTTTAAACAGGTTAAACCAGATAATTTTATGGTTCTTCATTGGTAAGTATAGATATATTTTATTTATGTTTGTTTTTCATATAAATACTTAATATAAATTTCTAGTCCAACAATATTTTCAACTAAAAAAGAAAGTTGTGGACCAATACCATCATTAATGTTAATTGATTTTAATCGTTCAATTGATTTAAAATTATTTGATAATGGTACAGCATTTGTAACATGTGTACCAAAAAAAGAATTAGCTTGTGTTGAAATGTTAAATAATCGTCCATGGATTTTTCAAGTAATTAAATCTCTCTCTCTATATATATACATATATTCGATTTATGTTTCTTTTGATTTTTAGCATGATTTATTTGGTATGGTTTATTCAATTCATGTTCTTGTTTTTCTTAGTTATATGACCGTATGTGAAGATGAACAAAGACAAGATGGTACAATGACAACAAAAGCAAAATTTTCAAAACGTATACATGATATATGGAAAGAATTCTTTTATGAATTTCTTAATATACCTGATTGTCAACATTTACCAGATTTAAATGTATGGGCTGATCGATTAGAATTATTATTATTTGAAGAAGCTAAACGTCTTAAACTAAAAGATACTGATTATACAAATATGTTTCGAATTAAACTTGATACACATCTTAATCAATTTCAACCGACACCACCACCAGCACCAACAAATTGAATGATATATTCTTTAGATTTGTACACATATACGAATGTAGAATATAATATTTTTCTTCTTATATATACGAATAAAAAATAAATAATTAGATTTGTGTACTATAAACGAAACAATATTGTTTAATTGAATTTTGATTTATACAAATTTGAAAGCAAAATTCTGTTTCTATTTTGAACTTGATGACTTAGAAACAGAATATTATAGTTAAGAGAATAAATAATTATACGAAGAATCATTTTTACAAATTTAAATCAAATAAAACCTACATATTCCAAAGTGAATTGTGATTTCGAATAATGATTTATTATATTCTTAATACTTCTAAATAAAAACCATTCATATCAGTTTTTGAGAATTGATCACAACTTGAAGCACAACCTCAGAGGCTCAAGTAACGAGGTAAAGAAGTGACTCAATACAATGGCGCTTCCACTCTTACCTCGTTACGGGAGATTGTATGAGTGTACCGTGAGTTGTGACTAATAGCGCAAAATAGTCATACACATAAACGCTAAACATAAAAGTTAAATACGAATAGAATCGAAGACTCAATCGTTTATTTTAGAAAAACAAATTGTATTTGGGTACATACAAATGATCACGATCTCATTTAATTAAAATCACCAGTAAAACGTCGGTAAACTATTGGGTATAATGTGTGTTATACCAATGGTAGTTTGATACCTGAATGATCGACTATCTTTTGACTGTCATTCTACTGCGCGTTATACCGATAGATGTTCTCCAACAGTCGATATACTATCGGTAGTGTAAATAAATGTACAACATGCGATTTCAGATAAAAAATATTTTTTTAAGTAGTATTTCGTGCATACTATTGTCCGAACAATCAAAAGTACCACTTAGAATTTTACTTTTTTTTAATTTCATGATAATGTGTTGTTTTGTTTTTATATACTATAGACTGATATGGATTGGTCATATATTTATTATTATAATCCTATAGTGGTCCTCTACCTATATTGTATATCTCAGATTTTTATCGTCGTGTATATGTGTATATATAATTTCAACTGTAGTGCTTTTCAGCATTTAATTTTCATTTACACATTACACTTTGTTTCACATATTTTTTTTATCGTACGTATACCTGACACTGTGTACTAATATATGCCGGAATAACTTTTTATATTATGTTTTCTTTCTTGTATTATGACATATAGAGTTGACCTGTTCCTATAGAGAGACCATAGCCACTATACCTTCAGATGAGTTCTATATATCATAATACAAGAAAGAAAGCATAATATAAAAAGTTATCCCGGCATATATTGGTACACAGTGTCAGGTATACGTACGATAAAAAAAAATATGTGAGACAAAGTGTAATGTGTAAATGAAAATCAAATGCTGAAAAACACTACAGTTGAAATTATATATACACATATACACGACGATAAAAATCTGAGATATACAATATAGGTAGAGGACCACTATAGGATTGTAATAGTAAATATATGACCAATCCATATCAGTCTATAGTATATAAAAACAAAACAACACATTATCATGAAATTAAAAAAAAGTAAAATTCTAAGTGGTACTTTTGATTGTTCGGACAATAGTTCAGTTTGAAACAAGTATTGATATAACTAAAGTGGCAAATAGTACTTCATATTGCATTCAACCTAACTGAAGTTATGCTTTTTCCTTTACTTTAACAACATACATTTGATTTTATTTTCATGAATTTAATTTAACATTCATTTTCGAGTCAATTTCTTTTTCAATCATTAGAGCTGGAGAAGAGCTACTAAATAAAAGTGTCTTTCTTTTGAAAATATTCAACCATAAGTTGGAACAAAAAAAGAAATTAACGAAATTATTTTCTCTATTTTTTGATCTTTTGTAAAAATTCAATAATTTGATAACAAAACAGTATGATAACTTGAAATTCTCAAGCTATATTTCTAGACATTTGTAGATTAAGTATACATATAAATTATTGAGAATTATTGCTAGTTTGCTAATATTATTAAAGTACCCGTACCATAACAGGATTATGTATTTTTTTTTCATAAAGCAATGAATCGTACTAATTTGAGTCTTTCATCACTTGAATTAGTTTTAATTACGATCAAGTATATGTCATCGATAACTCATAGCAATTATGTATAAACCATTAATAAACTTTTTATTGCATAATCTGAAATAGAGTACGATATAATAGAGAAGCAGCGGGCAGCAATTAACATTAAACTAAAATAATCATATGAAAATGGAAAAAATCTTTGAAAAAAAAACCAAAAATTTTTCCATAGTGAATATATTACTAACTCTCTATAACTACAATAAATTTGAAGTCAACAGTAACTTTTAGATAGAGATCTTTTGTTTATTATCGGATGAGAATATACCATTTTCAACACAGATTTCATATTTAATCAATTTATTATTTGTTTCTAGTTACACTAGAATATTTTCAATCTAATAGGTTTTTCCCTCGCTATATTGATCGCAAAAAGGAGTAACTGTTTTTCTTGTACCACTCTATAATATTTTATCTATATCAAGGCTTTTTTTTGTAATAGGTAGATTAAATTTAGAATAGTAAATCACAAAATGTGATATAAATAAAAAAAAACAAAAGAGATGCACTAAAAAAAAAAACCAAATATCATCCGCAAATAATCGATTCCAGCTGACGTTTTCTCTCATTAGATTTTTTAATGTGAAAAAAATCATATCATAAAAACTATCATGGATAACAGTTGTATTGTATTCTTTCTAGTGTTCATATTACAAAGTAATTTTTGTTATCAACGTTCTATCAGCAAATTTCCACCAATGAATTTATATATTGGTACAGATGGTGATGGTTTTGGTGCAGGTTCATTGCCCTTAGGTGTTCAAAGTCCATATGGTGCTCTTCGTTTAGGTGCCGATACTAGTAATACTTTAGATATTCCAATTGTATTCAATCATTTAGGTGGTTATCATTATTCTGATACACATATAAATCTTTTTTCACATACACATATGTTTGGAGCTGGTGTACAAGATTATGGTGAAGTTGGTATAATACCTGTTCAAATAGATAATAATAAACATTTACAAGAAATGATTTCTAAACATAATGGTTATCGTAGTGAATTTCAACATGAACGTGAAATTATTGAACCAGGTTATTATCAAGTTTATCTTCATACACATAAAATAAATGTTGAATTAACAGCTACAGAACAAGTTGGTATACATCGTTATTCATATGATAAAATAAAAAATAAACAACATGTTATACTTATTGATAATAGTTATACATTACAAGCAGATGTATGTAATCGAAGTCATATTAAAATTGATTCAATAAATCATGAAATAACAGGATTAATTTTTTTTCAAGGATCACTTTCAGGACGTTTTGGTGGTGTAACAACTTATTTTGTTATTACATTAAATAATTGGTCTAAATTTGGTGTATGGAATAATGGACAAATAATTGAAGAACAAAATGAAATTGATGGATGTTCATCAGGTGCTTATATTATTTTATCTGATGAACAAGAACAAATAACAATGTACGTTGGAATTAGTTTTATTTCAATTGAACAAGCACGTACTAATTTACATGTACAAACAAATATGTTTCAATCATTTGATTCTATTCGAACAATTGTACAACAAAAATGGCTTGATGAAATAGAAAGATTTGAAGTATGAAATTTCTTAAAATTTTTTTTTCTTTAAAAAAATTTTAAATGTCCTTTTGTTTTCATTTTTTTTTTTTGGATATTTAGGTTAGTGCTGAATGGGATCGTGAAGCTGAAATTAAATTTAATACAGCTTTGGTTCATTCATTATCAAGTCCAACACAATGGGATGAATCAAATGGTGTTTATCTTGGATTTGATGGTCAAATTCATACTAAACCTAATTATATGCAACATGTTTATACTGATTTATCCATATGGGATATATTTCGTACACAAATACCATTTATTGTTTTTCATGATTCACAGCGAGCAAATGATATTATACATTCAATAATGATTAATGTTGAGCAAGGTAGTGATTTACCAAAATGGCCTTTTGCTAATGGTTATACAGGTTGTATGATAGGTTCACATGCTGATATACTTATAAGTGATTTAATTATGAAAAAAGAACATGATAATTATTTAAATTTAACACAAGTTATTCAAGCTTTAAGAAAAGTTGCTAATCAAAATCAAGTACATGATGGTCGATTTGATCCATCAACATATATACAATATGAATATGTTCCTTATGATATGGATCAACAATCAGCACCATTGACATTAAGCTATGCATATGATGACTGGGCTATTGGAAATGTTATGAATGCTGCTGGTTTGACCGATGAAGCTAAAGAATATTATAGACGAGCAACATGGTTTGAACATGTTTTTGATAATAAAACAAAATTTTTTTGTCCAAAAAATAAAGCAGGCAAATTTGAGTGTCCAACCAATGAAATTGAATTTTTAAATCCATTTGATAATAGATATGTAGAAGGTGATGCTTGGCATTATCGATTTTTTGTACCACATAAATATTCGTTAGAATATGATGTGAACAGTTAAACCATAAGAGAAATCAAAACGAATAAATAATGGTAAATTATTAAAATATCAATATATCAAACGCGACAGATTTAGAGAAGGTGAAATAGCTGTAAATTTCTCTTTAATAAATCTAAACTATTCTCTTGTCTTGAGAACAAAAAAAAAAAAAAAGAAAGAATAAACAATATTAATTTCTAATAATTGTCTGTTTTATTTCTAGCCATGTAATTTCAAGCGTCACTGATAAAGTCGATAACTGTACGCTAAGATAATAAGAATGATTGATATTGGTTTCTTTTTCATTCCTATTTCTTATAGAAAGGACTGCTATCAATTAAAAAACGAACTAACCATCTTCATTGATATGTTCTTCATTTCGACTAAATATTTTTCTCTTACAAATATTCTACATTCATTTTTAATTAAACTCACGTATAGATTCTAGATAACAAACGAACTATATTTCTAATTTATAAAAACTCTATTTTGATAGCTTAAAATATTATGAATGGTAAATAAATATTTATATTAAAATCAAATTTATTTACTTTCGTTCAATTTTAATGAAATTTATTAACTATCAACCAAAAAAAAATCTTTTGAAGTTCGTAATAAAAAGTAAATGTATCAAATAATGCATTAAAACTGTTTATTTGATAGAATTTTATATGTGCGATCTCACCTATTCTCAATTAAAATAAAAAATATTCAGCAAAAATAATAGATGGATATATCTACAGATAATAAAAACAAAAAAAAAAAAAGGAAAGATGAAGATAACAGAAACAACATTCATTGCAATAAAAGATAACTTATCAATTCAAATGACATTTGAACTCAACACATATTCTTTTTATTTAAACGATTATAGAAAATGATTAATGAGTCAGATTTTTTTCTTTTTATAATAAATATTCATTTATATATTTGAAATGATATTATAAACGAATAATTTCAAATACTTCACGTTTAATTCAATTATTCGGTGGTCCAAATAATTTTATTGAAGCATTAAATACCTTTTTTCAACTTGGGCAACTATGGGACACAACATTATTACCAAATCCATATTATTGGCCAGGTAATGAACATAATCTATTCTCAGTCTGGCAATTTAACTATGCTAATCGTTCTGATCTTACACAAAAATATGCACGATGGCTATTAAATCATGCTTATACAATAAAACCTGATGGATTACCAGGTAATGATGATTATGGAACAATGTCTGCTTGGTATATATTTACTAGTATGGGATTTTATCCACTTTCTGGTTCATCAACATATTTAATTGGTAGTCCAGCATTTGATCGTATAAAAATTACTCGAAATAAAAACGAATGTATTTTATTAATAAATGTTCATAATAATTCTCCAACAAATATTTATGTTGAACGTGTATTATTGAATGGTAAAATTTTATCAACATTTCCATTTATTGATCATATAAATGATTTGAAGTGTTCGAATAATAATAATCAATCAAATATTCAATTAGATTTTTTTATGTCATCAACTCCTTTATTATTATATGACAAATAAATCGAGAAAAAAAAAAGAAAAAAAAGAAAGAACCTCTAACCTGTCGTTAAACAAGGTTTGACTTCAAAGAACTAATACCGACATTTGTCTCGAGTGATTCAAGATAATTGATGTGCTAATACAATGAAAGAAGAAATTTTTTTTTGTCCTAGCAGAAAAGGCAACAGTTGGTAGAATATATGTATCCATCTGAACAATATATTCAGTCGGCGATAAATATCATTTTCTCTTGAGACAATGAGAGAAAGAAAGAAGAAGAAAAGAGAATGTACAGTTTGCTATTCTCAATCATTTGATCATAAGAAGGAATACAAAAAAAAAAAACGAAAGAATCAATGTTTTATTCTTTATTTCTTATTTCGTTATTAACTAATATTGGTTATACAGAAAATAATCAATGTTCATTTTTAAATAGTAAATTAAATAAATATGGAATTCATATAAAAATACATGATAAAGATTTTATTGGTTTAAAATTATGTCAAAATTTAATAAATAATTATTGTTGTCCACAAATTTATGAAGATAAAATACAGAATGCAACAATAATTGAACTTTATCAATTATCTGAATTTTATTCAATTAATTTATATGAATCATTAAGACGAATAACTGTTCAATTAAATGGTTAGTAGAATTTTCAAAAAATTTTAAATTTTTATTTTTTTTCTATATTTAGAAACAATTAGAAAATTAATCGAATCATCACGAAATGAAACACATTCTATTTTACAATATAATTATAATAAAATTTATAATTTTTATCGTTCATCAATTAATTTATTTTTTAATAAATTATTAATGATATCATATAAAAATTATCAATATGATATTAAAAATACTATTGAAGAATTATTTCGTAATATTCTTCGTATAACAGTAATATTAAATAATAATAATACTAATAAACCAATCTTACCATCATATTTATTATGTCTATGGAGAAATCATCCATTTGGTAATCGACAATATGTAATTATTAATCAATTAGAAATTAATTTAGGAAAATTATTTCATTTAAATGAATTATTTAAATTAAGTAATGAACTTATTCAAATTATATCAATGGTATGTTCGAAAATATTTTTCATAAATTCATTTTTTTTTCAGATGAAATTTTGAATATTGATGATTTGTCGGTTTAAAATAATCTATATTAAACTAATTTGTATAGTGTTGAAATATGATTTAGAAGAGTATTATTCTCTTATCAACATCACGATAGATATATTTATCAAATTTAATGAATGTAATTGTATATCAGAATTTGAGCAGAACTAAAAAGTGTGTCATTTATTAAATTGTACATTGGTATGAATGATTATTATTTTTTGTTGATTTTTGATTTGAAGAAATTTT